CAAAAGGTGACGGATGATATCGTGGTTGTTCACCGTATTGCATCGGTGGCGTCGGATCTGTCCGACCGTGAATTTATCTCTGTAGCATTCCGATTCCGTGATGGAGACAATTACTTCATTGGTATCAAGTCAATCACAGTGCAGACTGAGGCTGCTGAGAACTGCATCCGAGGCGAGGAATGCCAAGGGTGGATGTTTGTTGGTGGGGAGAACGAGACGTCTCAGTGGAAGGCGCACTTTTTGGGCTACTATGACGTCAAGGGCGAGAAGGACGACAAGGTGCTGAACCAGCTTGCCAATGAGGCGATGTTTGGCATGCTGCGATGGGAGAGCGAGGCCATGCACCCGCTTAGTGTTTAAGCGGTCATGGTGATCATTGGTGGCCCCCTTTGCTCGATGCGTGGTGGATAATGTGTTGAGCTTGATGCCATGCGCGCTAGGCAGAGGGCGCTACTGCTAAGTATCAATACTTACGCTTTGCGCAGATGCTTATGCCCGATAGTGGAGAGAACACCTGAGCACGAACAGAGCTGCAGGTCTGACTGAGTACATGCATACACTTGTGTTGAAAATATACGAAAAGAAAACAGATTTTTCACCATTTGGCTGCGAATGCCACTGCGTTCTGATGATTTTACGTGGACACAAGTAATCATGTGTTGTATGCTCCTTCCTGCTGAGTCAGCAACGCTGTGGTTGTCTCTGCAATCAATCACCGGTTGTGGCTCGAGCTTGCCGATGCAACAAATCGAGCCGCGCGAAATAATCACCGAATCAGTCATGGTCTGACACAACAAAAGGTGACGGCAACGTGACGTATTCGTCTACAGTTAAGATGGTCGGACTTGCCTTTTGTACGCTTGCTTGCTCACCTCATCGTTAATCCGCTGCTTGTAGTGCGGCGTCCGTAATCGAGTCGGCGCTGGAGTCTGCCAGAGCTCGGTGCGTCGAAGGATCACAACGCGCTAAGCGTTGAGCTTTACACTGTTCGTTGGTCCCAATGTCTCGTCAAGAGACTCGGCTTGGAGCAGCGTATGAGCAACTGAGCATTTGAAGATAAATCTGCTTGTTAGCCCTAAACAAGCGAAAACGAAAATGAATGAAAGCAGCGTTCACTTTGGTAATTAGCACCGCTAGTGCTACGACATCATGTCCAGAAACCCATGGAAATATTCAAACCCGGTAATACCGAGTCCGCACTGGCAATCTTTGCTGGACGATCGCAATTTGCTTTTGAATTGACGTCAAAGCTATGTTGCGATCGTTCACTTACAACTGCTGCCTTCATGCACTTCTTTTTGATCCATGTATATGTAGTAATGTCAGAATACACCCGTTACTGCCGTCGTCACTGACTGCCTATCAACCGTTGTGTCAAGTTGAGTTTGCTGATGGAGGTGTGGACAATCTAGTGTAAGGAAGTGTGCAATGCAGTGTCGCCCCCCCCCCAGTCTCTGAGCATTTTGGCAGAATGGCAACCTCCGTGTTACAAGAAGGTTGCCGTTCTACCAGCATGCACTAAAATACCTGTATCCATGATAGTCAGCGCGTCCTATTCTGGAAGCTCGAAGCCAGAACCTGATGCTGCCCCTCTCTCCCCGCGAGAATTGCGTCCATTGGCTGAAACTCTGCAAAATGAATTGCAGAATGAATTGCAGCCGCCCAGAAATCGGGAGAAGGCAGTTGTGGAGGCAGCAAATACCAATCTGCCAGCAACGAGAAGAGTGCGGGCGCGTAAGCAACGCACTCGCTCTTCCGGGTCCGTGTTCCTCCCATCCTCTGTGCCTTGTAGCTCGCCACCGATGGACCAGCGCAACAACCCGTATGGCATGCCTGGAAGCCGCGCAGGGATGCCGAACGGGATGCCCCAGCAGCATTACGGTATGCAGGACATGATGTTCGACCCGCTGCCCATGAACAACGGGCTGTACCATCCACCACCGCCCATGCATCAGCAACACGGAGGCATGGGAGGTCTCATGCAACAGCAAGGCTTGGTGGCGCCCGAGGATGACCCGCGCTTCGTTGATGACCTGCTTGGCGCGTTGGGAAATGACCCCGCAGGTCTGGGTCAACAGCAGCAACAACACCTCGGACAGATGCCCGGCCACTACGACCAGCAGCACATGATGGCGCCGCATTCGCAGGCTCCCAACCTCCAGCCCGGCCGGACGCAAGGAATGCCCATGACGAGCCAAGCGCCACTCATGCAGCAAGGAGGCATGCCAGGCTCCATGCACATGAACCAGATGGCTCCTAATGGCGTCGGAGCTGGAGCACGCATGGGTGTCGGCATGCACCAGCAGAACATGGGAGCACCGGCTGTATCGTCAAGTCTCGGAACGCTTGGTGGCTTGGGTGCCTCCATCCCTGCGCCTCCAGCAGCGTCACGACAAGCAGCCGTTGCTCCTAGCGCCATTGTACCAACATCAGCGACGTCAAAGTCTTCGTCTAATTCGCGCGCACTCGCCCCGTCAAGTAACAATGGTGGGAGTAGTGATGAGGACGGCAACATGGGAGAAGACGACGCTCAGAAGAAGAAGGAGCGCCGTCGACAGCAGGTCCGCTACGCCTCACGTCGTCGTCG